TATAAATAATATGATCATTTTGTGTCATATAAACCAACGATATCTCTACAAAATTCTAAATTCTATTTTTCAAGTATTTTAGAATTACCTGTGCACCCACACCTTATTCTCCTTTTCGTCGGGAACAGCTCAACAAAAATAAGTTGTCTGTTTGCGTTATTGCGGGTCTTTTTTCAGTCTTTGGCATAGGTATGCACGGAGTTAATAGCAGAATTACATTAGAGTCTACTGGGTGTTGTACCATTAAATCAAATTAAGCATTACACATTTTATTTATTGTAAGTTGTGTTCTCATATACTTACTCTACAATTGGATGTACTTCTCAAATTCAATTACTGTTCTCTCCTGACTTTATACATGCAAAAACAAGTCTCCGCCAATGTTGATTATGGAAGAACACAAGTCGCAATCAATAAAACTTTTAGTGCTTAGTCTAGTTTATTAGCACAGCATGTAATAGACTCCATGCAAACCCCTACTGATTGATCAAAAATCATCCCGAGAGAAAAATGAAGGACGCAGGTGAAGAAGACTAAATACGGGCTAGCGAGGAGTGACCAAAGGAAAGCCAAGAACAACGTGGCTTAGTTCTCGCTAACAAAATCCTCGTTATGCTACTATACACCAGTGCTATTTTACAATTGACAGGTTTTTCTAAAACTTGAACTAATGGAACCGTAAGTGGTAAGTCCGAATCCAAGTCAATCTTTCTTAATGTCGGCTGTCGCGGCGGAAGTCTGTACCAACAACACAATGACTATAGTTTGATATGTCTGGATACGATACTTCTACAAGAAACAACTGACTCAATCCCCACACAAGTTTTATTTGTTTACCGACACGATAAACATTTGAACGGTAAAATCTCAAACGTTTTTTGGTTAGTGAAACTAATTATCGGTTTGAAACGTGCAAAAAAGTACAACATATTATCTAGCATATTACTGACCGGCTGTTGTTGTTGATGTTGTTATTGACGATGTGGATGACGTTGATGATGAAGTAGTAGTTGATGTTGTTGTTGATGTTGTTGATGATGAAGTTGTTGTTGATGATGAGGTTGTTGTCGATGTTGATGATGTTGATGATGATGAAGTAGTAGTTGTGGTTGTTGTTGTTGATGTAGTTGACGATGTGGATGATGTTGATGATGAAGTAGTAGTAGTGGTTGTTGTTGTTGACGATGTGGATGATGACGTAGATGATGTTGATGATGAAGTGGTTGATGTTGTTGTTGATGATGATGTTGATGATGAAGTGGTTGATGTTGTTGTTGATGTTGTTGATGATGTGGATGATGTCGATGATGACGTGGATGATAATGTACTTGTTGATGTCGTAGTCGGCTCTGTTTTAGAGAAATGAGATTGAGAGTTTAGGCGTGAGTGCGAATAGTCTTCGATCTTTACACTCACACTCTCAAGATAGATGTTCGAATTGAAGAAGATCCGCACCCACACTCAGAAATGCTAAGAGTCTCTTAAGATTACTTTAGTGCGATACAAGAAGTCTTATAGAATGACTCTCGAGAGTATATTACCTTGAGGATGTGAGTGTAAGAAAGTATAAAATCTATCTCTCATCCACACCCATCTAGAGTATCCCTACTGTGCTCATAGTACTCATACTAAAAGGTATATAGAGACACTAGGTATCCTTTCATATTGATCAGTTTTTTTCATATGAGCAGTTATATGACTCATTTGGTTGGAGTTTATGAGCTTCCGCTGTTTGACTAATGTGTAACAGCTAGAACTACATCACGCTATAAAGAAGTGACATATTAATCCCTCTAATTATAATATCGTTTATGCTATTCTGTAAGTAACTCTGTGAATATAGAACTAATAGGAGGTTATAGAAACCACTTTGTTCGATACATTTACTAGTGTTTTTCGATGAATGTAAAAGAGAAAAAGACTTTTTTCTTCTAGGTACATCTTTTCTAAGAAGTTGTAGCTGAACTAACCGGGTGGTACTCGTGTACCATCAATGACAATCATAGTAACGGCATCCATATTAACTAATAAATTGGCATTCTGGTTTGATATATCAGCAAACAATTCACAATCAGAAGGCGACCGATGAAAAGTGACTGCCTGACAATGAACTTGAGCTAAACAAGCCATTTGACACCGGCGGATATTCGATACAATAACAGTGGCATATGGTAAACAAGTTGTGTTAAAGCATTGGAATTGCCAACCAGTGTTGGTAGACATGCGAAGTGAGCGCATATCTTGTGTGACTGCTTGTACAACAAGAAGAAATAGAAGAAATAGAGAATTTCTTCTACTCCTCCCTCCCATAACCAACAAAAACGTTAGTTAAGGGAAAAACTTACTTTGAATAAAATGCGTTGCGAAGACAGAGCATTAAATACCATTTCAGTTTTTCTCTTTTTCTCTGTCTTTCTCTCTTTCTTTTTTTTCTTTCCGTTCTCACATCATAGATATTTTTTTGCATTCATCAGTCCGATAGAAAACTAGTTATGACTTTTTTTTGTCAGGAATGTGTAGCAGAGCTTCACTTTGAAATATCATGCGTTTAGAAAGATGATTGTTTTTCGTAGTTGATGTGCAGGCGGAAGACAAAACAGATATATCAGGCGGTCTTATTTCATGTAGAGTATTAGTTTAGTTTTTATAATATAAGACCGCTTTATATTAAATTTAATTGCGTATGTCAGCATAAGAAACCCTTTATGAAATAAATTAGTTAAAAGAAACTACTTTTCAGCAGTCTGAAGTAACTTGAATAATTCTACATCTTTACAATTAATTAGACATTTTTCTTTGAACGAATTAAGTTCCGTCCAACAGAATAGTGTCTGTTCTTTCTTTTTTTAGTTTTATGCTGTTATGATATGAAATGTGTACACAACACAAAATTTATTTTTAAGTAATTCGATTCTTTTTGAATGAACGTTTGAAAAAAACACATTTTGTGCAGTAACGTTTCCCTGTTATAGTCAGAATAATGGAAATTATATCGACAAGAAAAGCTCTGTGTTACAAAAAAGGATGGTATCAAGTTTCGGCTAATGTTAGAAGAAAAACACCGTTACTATGACGCTGTTACTTTCTTAATACATTTTATTTAGCAAAAGTAATGCAAATATTCTATAGAGTTTTGAATATATTGTACATCATTGTGATATGTTCTCTTTTATTCATGACTCTTTAGATCTTTAAGTTCTAAACTAGTGAGATAATTCTGGAACCAATCCTCTATATTACAACTATGTCTCTTTCTTTTCACACATCATCGATATTTTTTCATTTCATTAGTGCGATGGAAAACTAGTTATGACTTTTTTTTGTCAGGAATGTGTAGCAGAGCTTCACTTTGAAAAAAGTGCATTTAAAAATATGATTTTTTTTATTTCATCAGTATGATGGAAAACTAGTTATAATTTTTTTTGTCAGGATTGTGCAGTAGAGTTTAACTTTGAACAAGTCATGCATCTAGAGTGATGATTTTGTTTGCGTAGTTTATGTGCTGGCAGAGAATAAAAATATGTATATTTGACGATCTTATTTTATGTAGAGTATTAGTTCGGTTTTCATAATGTAAGACTACTTTATATGAGAGTTAATTCTATATGTCAACATAGGAAACGCTTTATGAAATAAATCAATTAAGTGACACTACTTTTCAACATTCTACAGTAACTTCAATTACTCTTTATCTTCGCAAATAATCATACATTTTTCTTCGACTGAAATGTGTCTCGTCCAATAGAATGATGTCTGTTCTTTTTCTTTTAGTTTTATTCAGTAATAATTTAAAATGTGTACAACATAAAAACTGTTAGAAGATAATTTCACTTTCTTTTTCAAAGAACCGTTAGAGGAAAATACACTGCGCAATAATGTTTGCCTGTTATAATCAGAATAATGAAAATTACATTGTCAAAGAAAACGGTGTATTACAAAAAAAATGGCGATAGCAAATTTCTGCTGATGTTGGAAGAAAAAAAATCATTACTATGCCGTTAGAAAAATTACGAATAACGTTTATGAAGTCTTTACTTTCTTTGTACATTTAATTTAGAAAAATTAATGCAAATACTCTTTAGAGTTTTGAATATATTGTATATCATTGTGACATGTTCAGTTTTATTCTCCAGTTTCTAAATCCAAAAGATCCAAACTTGTCCGGAATCTAGAAAATAGAGAGAAACATAAAAAGCCAACATCTTCTGCAATTATTTAAGTCACCAAGATTTATTCTGAATAAATAAATATATATAAAGCTATTAATCAGTGAAGGGTTTAATAATTTTTTTTGAGTTTTATTGTGCATTAAAGAGAAGAGAGAAAAAAAGGAAGAAATACTTATATTAGAAATAATAAATATTGTAAAGGGAAGCTTTTCGAGTTTTTTTTGTTCGTTATCAAACTAGTTTGAAAATGGTGATGTAGTTTTATAATAAATATCATTTCACACTCTCAACATGATTAGATAAATGTCTCACTTTGAATCATGATTACTGACATAAAAATTAAGTTACCATTACTTTTGAGAATATCAAGAAATGAGTATTCATAAAATATATTCTCACATTTTACCATAGTCTTATATAACTTTCGATCGTTGTCTTTTTAACGTTGTTTTTGCGATAAAGTCTGTGAAGTTGATGTTGACGTGATGACGCATTCTCTCCCAATATGGGTATAATGCATTTTTTTCACAAAAAAAACAGTCTTTTATGGTATATAAAGAAACGATGTCTACGTACAGATAAACTTATTTTTACTTGTGAACTATTCATATCTTAGACAATAATTAATTTTTTTATAAAAGCTGCTATTCATTATTCTTATTTTTGGAAATAGACAGTTATGTCACAACGTGAAAATGGAAAAGGTAAAATTTATAGTCTAAAATTATTGATAATTTCTTTCTTTATTATTCGTAGGTCCAGTAGATACAAATAAAATGGCTGCTCCTACACCACGAAGACCAGCATAAGGTACTCTAGTCTCAAATCCAAATGAACCATCTACCACCCCCTAAATCAGTATGGGGTACTCCACCGAGTGCAACTGAAGGTTCTCACAGTACATTTCCAAGTTTAAATAATTCAATGAGAAATATGTCGGTTAATACAACAACAACAACACGTGCAAAGGATAGTCGATCTCAAAGCGTTCTTCAGGGAAATCGTCGTCGAATATTATGTTCTACAATTCCTGATTCAGCTGTATTAACTTAAATTCGTCGTCCTGATGAAGGTGGTTCCAAAGGTCAAGCCATATCTATTTATACAAATCATCTTCCTATTACAATTAGTGATGCAATTATTAATCAGTATGATACTGACATTGCTATTATCGATCGTAACGGTAAACCACGCCTTGCACGTAAAGATGATCGACACATTATTATTATAAATAAAACAATATCTTTTTTTTCTTTCTTGCTTATTTATACATGTAATTGACAGTCAACATGTATTCTTTAGTCAGTTTTGATTAATAGAAGAATGAAATGTACTGCTATAATTCGTTTTTCTTTTCTTTATTATTCATCTATCCTTTGTCTACAGTTATAGATAGATAGATCGATATATGTGATGTTTCTAGATATTCATCATTCGTTAATATCGAAAGGCAATCACTACGATGGTAAGTTCTTTATTTTTTTTCAAAAAATAAAATTATTTAAAATTTTATTAGGATAAAACTCGAACTGGAAAACAGTATCTAATAGAATGAACGACGGTAAATATATTATTTTTACATTAATAAAATTCTTTTTTTTCATTTAAGATCCAAATGGTGCTAATTAAACAACAGATCGATTACCCAGGACGATGATTCCAGAAGCAGGATTCCATTAATTTCCGTCCGAATCTCTGAGGAAACTCACCATTTCTGGGCGGAACCCGCTCGGAAAATGCCAGGAATCCGATGGAGAAGTGAGGTAACCGCATCCGGCTGCGGGTTTTGACATGTTTCTGTCGGTTCCAATCTAAATCAGACAAATCCGGTCACCGGATTCGTTCAATGGAATACTATGGAACTGGCCGTTTCCGTACCGGATTGTTCGACCTGGATACCTATATGGATATCACCAACAAATATGTCTCGTCGTACATCATCGACTAGAAAAACAACACAAAATCAAAATGAAAGCACCGGCGAAAGCGAAGAAGAAAATGAGATTACGCCTGATTATGATCGTGATACGGGGAGATTCTTTATGATGCAGTTCAACGCATGTGGACAAAGCGTAAATAAAAAAATTTTAATAAGTTACATCGTATTTTTTTATATTTAGATCGGAGAATTTATTAAACTTTGCCATGCAACGAACTGTAAACTCAAAAATACAAAAGATCGAGAATTCACACAAATGTTAAAAGAAAAAGTAGATACACAACTGAACGAAGAGCTTGAAAATGAATTAAAAATGTATCGCAGACGATTAAAAATGATAAACAATGAATCAATGAAATTAATAAAATTAAATTGAATAAATAGATGACATTGAACGTTGTCCTGTTTTTACTGAGTACCATTTTTCAGCTCGTCGAGATCTACTTGGACCACTGGTTGAAACACTTGGAATACCTCCTCAAACGAATATGGGAAGGTTTAAGTTGAATATGGAGCCAACTTCACCTACTTATGTAAGAGACATCTTTATTTATATAGATTATATTTTTTTATCAATTTAGCGAAACAAATTACTCAAAATTGAATACGAAATATTATGGAAGCGACATAATGCCGTAGATGAGAATCAACAGTTGGAGTTAAAAAAATTGACAAAAGACGAAAAAGAAATATTTGAAGAATCCTATGAAAAACAAATTCGCAAATACAATGAATGGTTCCAACTTGTTGAAAATGTTATTAAAAAAGAACTCGATGCACAGGTTTACAGAAAAAAATGAACAATCTTGTAATTTATCTATATTGAAATAAATAATATTCATATCGGAAACCTGATTGCCATTTATTAATGAAGAAAAAACGATTATAAGATTAAGAATCTGAAAAAGAATATTTAGAAGTCAAGGTTAATGGTCGAAAGTGTTGCAGAACTTTTTGACCAACCTAATATAATCTTGAATGAAATAGTTTGACAATTAGAAGGATTTAAATCAATGAAATGTCAAGAAATTATTAGATAATTAACTATATAAAATAATTAAGGCGATGTGACACGAATGTTAGATAGAATAGGAGCAGAAGTCGTTGATTGATTCACTTGTTTATATTATACATGAGTTTATTTAAATTTTTTTAAATGGTTGAGATGTATATTTACTAACTATTAAGAATTGTACGCAAAATAAAAAAATAGATTTTTTCTTTATAAATTGTGTAAAAATTCTAACCATCTTAATCATTTAGAGTTTCTAAAGATTACACTTGCTCTTTTGATACAATGCTAGAATTAGAAATGTTTGATCAATTTGTAGTTGTTTTTATTTTTTTTATGATTTCTTTTTCCACTACAATATCATTTTGTTTTCTTTTTAATGTAAAAGGTTTACATGTTGTAGTAGGAGTTTGTTCTAAGATATCGATTTCTATTGTATTATTATCATTAGTATTATCGATTTGTTCTATTGAATCAATATAATTACTATCAATATTAATAGAGCAAACAAGTGCCTCATGATAAGTATAAAATGTATACCTTTTACTTCATGATATTAATTACTTGTACATAGAAAAGTTCAATATATACAATCAAGACTTGTAAAATTATTGGTAGTACCCAGGTTCACCAATCCCGTATTCGAATCCGATCGGATCCTATGCCAGATTCTATCGGAATCCGACGATCCGACAAAATCCTATAGGATTCCTGGTGACGGAATCACTTCGGATTCCGTTGCAGTCGGATCCCATCGGATCCAACATCGGATCTCACAATTTCCAACAAACGGATCTAGACGGATCGGATAGGTGACCATAAGGCCATCATAGAAAATAGCTAAAAATGCCGCTCATCAAATTTGCAGCAAGTGACTGAAAAATTTCCGTACGGAATCCATTGCAAATCCGTCACCAGAAATCCTATCGGATTCTGTCGGATGATCGGATCCAACGTTGGATTGGTTGACCTGGGTTATGTAATAAGAAAAAATATTCTAAAGATTACGTTATCAAGGGATCTGGAGGCACTATATAATTAAAATTTTTTTTTATATGTTTTAGGTAGAAGTTGCACATAAATTAAAATAATTTTCTCCAATGGCAGGTTTGTTCATTTTTTTTCAATTACTTTTATCATAAAAGGAATTTTTTTTTTGACTTAAGATTCAAATACTGCTGATCAAAAAACAAATAGATCGCCAAGATGGTTACAACCAACACAAATGTTTCCTGGTGCATCAAAAACAATACAAAATGATAATGAATGCAGCGGCGAAAGTGAAGAAGAAAATATTAGTCGTGATTATGATCGTGATACCGGAACATTGTTCATGCAGCAATTCGACGCATGTGAACAAAACGTAAGTAAAAAAATTTTAATAAATTATATAGTATTTTTTTTATATTTAGGTCAGTGAATTCATCAGTTTGTATCATTCACAAGACTTCAACCTTCGGAATGCAAAAAATCAGCAATTTTTACAAATGCTAGAGCCAAAATCAAAAGAAAATACAGAAAAAAATCGGCGACTATAATTTTGAATCAAATATGTATCAACGTCGGCTACGAATGATAAACGATAAATTAATGGAATTATTTAAAAACAAATGTACAAATAGATCGCATTGAACAATTCCATTGTAATAAACCTATTGATGGATTTAGTCTCTAAAAAAAATGTAAAATAAACTAATAATAATGTCATAAAATAAAATTTATATCTTTTAACAAATGAGTGATTTGTAAATAAACTATAATTTACTGTTACATATAAGTAAAACGTTCATATGTCTATGCAACAATAACAAAAGCTGATAAAATACGTAAACAAGATAATAATGCTCTTAGTCTATACAAAAGTGCAACTCAATTCTAAGTCAAAACTCGAACTAGTCCAGCTCTGAATCATTTAGAATGAAAGGTTACTTCTCTTACAGTCAAATTATTTCTTGTCTGAGAACATATTTTATTAGTTCCTACTAAAATAAAAAAGGATAATGCTATAATTCTTACTAAATAATGATATTATTCATGTTTCGATTATTCTTTAAACTCTAGATAAATAACTGAAAACTATAACAAAAGAATAATCGAATTCTTTTTCTTCAAATATCAGATAGGATCAATCTAAACATATTTCATTCTCTTATAACAATCATTTCATTTTAGTTAATTCAAATATATTTCACTTTCAACAAGTATTTTCTTTTATTCAAAAAAAAGAATCCTGATTAAATTTCGACATGCAATAATAAACAAAAATATTCATCAAAATGTTTTGGTCGAACAAATGGCTTATGCATATGAAGTCCTTTTAGTTTAGAACAATAAGGCCGTGTTGCATCATTGGTGAAGTTGTTTGTTACAACTTCGAGTGATTCATATGTGATACAGAGATCCAACAAACAAGGTAAATGAATGTTCGTATCGACGAGAAATTGTTCAGCATAATCATCATGTGCGTCAATAAGATTGAGAAGATTGAGATGAGGAAAACTAATTAATGTCGAAGAATGTTGCTTGTTTTTTTGTGGTTCCAAATTGCATATCGTCAAGTTTTTTATAAAAGGAAAACAATCAGAAATAGTTTTGAAGAATTCATGTTCAAAAGGAAATGAATCAGTCATTGTTAAGTGTCGAACATTAACAAACATGCCACCTTGAAAAGAATTGTTGAGATGAAGAAAGCTTTCGAATTGATATGGAAGTGAATATATATGAGATTTGACCACAGCCTTTGCTTCTTCAAAATCGATGTTTTGATTTGTTGGCTTTTTTGGTTCAAAATGCACATATGAACCAACTTGTCCATATTCTCTTCCAATGAAACTATCTTGAATATGCTCATTTGATGGTATATCAATTTCATTATTCTCAATAAGAACATTTGTATTGATACTGAAAATAAATTTGTTTAGCTGTGACATATGAACAAGCACTTGATCATATAATTCAGTGCCATCAATAAAAGTTGAGTCAGTCCTTATTACTGTTAGAAATAATATTAATTCTTCAAGATTTATCATTCGATGAAGTAATGGAATAATGTATTTATCAAAATCACTAGTCAAATTAATTGAAGCTAATGAAAAGTATTTCAACTTGGAAAGTTTTATCTAGAAAGAAAATCATTTAATTAAATTAATCTTTTTACTCAAAACAATATTTCAAATTTACCTCGTTCTTTTTTTTTTTAAGTTCACATTTGATTTTTTTCACATTAATAGTTAGTTTTGATAAGGAATCAAAACGTCCATCAAGAAGAAAAAGACAATCATTGAACGTTGCAACATTTATTTTTAATTCGATTAAAGTTGAACGTCTACAACTTGTTGTTGGTAAATTACAAGTCGAAATAAATGAATTTCGATAAGAAAATACTTGACAAAAATTCAGCTTGATTAATCGTCGACATAGAGACAAAATCAATAGAAATATATCTGAAGAAAATTCAGAAAATAATTTTGGTATTTCATCACTCTGAATATCAACAGTTAGATGTGTGATTTGTCGTATAAGAAGAGTAGGAAGAGTTGTATAATCTTAAAATACAAATTCATTTCATTAATGAAAATATTAAAAATAAAATCTACCTGCTAGATATCGAAAGAGTATTTCTTCTTTAAAATTAACAAGTGACAATGAATAAAGTTGAGAATAATTGTGAGTAAGAATGCGCTTCATTGAATGTTGTTCAATAGTAAGTTGTTTAACTTGATCATGAATTTTTGGTAAAATGTTTTTACATATATTTGAAAGAACTTGTTCGTGTATTGAAAATGTACGTTGATAAAATGACTTCATAGTCATAAGTGTAATATTAAGATTTTGAATATAAAAAGGATCAAATAGTAATTGAAGAAATCGTTCATTAACATCGACAAGTGAATAAATAACATCAGCAAGATTTAATTTCTTGATAATGATAAATAATATTTCGTTGGGTAAATCGAATATATTTAAATTATTGTTATTCGAAATATTCATGTTTATGTCGCTATTTTATTCATTCATGTTAATTGATATATATGACAAAATTTTCTCATAGTCTTTGTGAGAATAATGACGAATAAATATTGAGGTTATAATATTAGACTATAAAGAACAGATGATCGCATTGTTTTTACTGGCTAGCATTTTTTTGCATTAGTCGTCTATTCATTCGATCATTCTTCTGTTTGTCAAAACAAATTTAATGGCATATGGTGTGAAACTTGTTCTTTAGTAGATGATCATAATTTATTTTAATTCATCAAATCAAAAATAAAATCATCAAATAATACAAAGCATATAAATAAAGCTTGGATATTATTGCAATAGTATGAAAATGGTGAGGTAGTTTTACAATAAATATTATTAAAATGTTACATTACAATTGAAGAAAAAAAATCGTTATTAATACCTTGATATTTATTTATTTTATTCAATTTGTTCATTTAAAAAAAAGATATGATCTTTTACAAATACTGTAAAATCTGCTTGACATTTTTAGGATTTATCTCAAACTATAAGTCTAATTCAATTCCTAAAATATTATTTGAAATCGAAACTATTAAATTAGTCGATAAATACTAACAAATAATTTACTAGTAAAAATCATAGGTATTAAATAATATTAGGCGCCTTGAAAAGAAGACTACTATGTAAAATAGATGCTCTTCTTCTATTTGTGCAATCATCTTCATATCTTCCATTTATTTCTGATCATATTAAGTATGATATACTGCTGATAAAAATATAATGATATGATTAATTATAGCTGTTTATTGTTTTAATGAACCTTGTATAAATGATAATACTTGTTCATCAGAAGGTTTTCAATGTCGTTTTAATCATTGTTTATGTCCTTCGAATGAATTCTGGGCTGGACATGATCAACATTGTATTCCATGTCCGACAAATTGGATAAATCTTTGTAAGAATTTATATTTCAAAATGATATATTTTATTTATCAATTCTTATTTAGTTGTATTTTGTATTTATTATGAAAAAAATGAAAAGATGAATTGGTCAAATGCTGATAAATTCTGTCGACGAATGTCTAGTTATATTGATAAACCGACTCGATTACTTGAATTAAATAATCTCAATGAATTTAATTTTATTCAAAAAACTATTCATCAGATATTAACAGATGAGCAAATGGAAATAGAAGTAATTAATAATAGTAATGGTATATTATTATCTAGTGCATTGGCATTTATCGGTAGTCAAGGTCGAAGAACTTCAAATAAAAGTAGACTGATATAATAATTAATTGATCATAATATTTATTATTATATAGCGTGGATCTATCATTGGGGAAATACGACTGATAAAATATATACAAGTACTAGTCAAATGTGGTGTAAAGAAAAATATTGGAATACAATCGTTATATCTCAAGGTGAGCCTGCATGGGAACAAGATGAAGAAATAGATGTAACTTTTCAAGCATTAAAACGATGGAGTGATTCAGATGATGCATGTCTTGTTTCTCTTTTACCTAATAGTAGACAACCAATTCTTTGTGAAATTATTGGTAGGTGATAAGAAAACGAGAGAAATCAATTTTCTATATATAAATAAATTTATTTCCAGGAGAATCAGACAGATTTCGTAATCAATCTATTTTGCCTTTTCTGTTCACAACAATAACAACAACTACCACCACAGTATCCTCAATAAAAACAACAACAACAACAATGAAAGATATTATAATTAATAACCTAGCACCACCATTAACAATACTTTGGTCATTATCAACAACTAGTGAATAATTCTAATATTATTATATTTAATTCTAATTTTTGTTATCTAGTTTTCGCTACTTCTTCTACTACAACAACAGTAGAAACGAATTTAACAAATGTTCACTCCGAAATAAAACAGAACGGATCATTATTTATTATTCTTGGACTTCTAGGAATTCTTACGATAATATCTATACTTATATTTATTATCTATATTCATCATAAAAAGAAAGAATCATCAATAGATTTAAAATCAAACACAAAACAATCATTATCCCATTCGAAAATGGATCAAATACATGTAGAAGATTTACAATCAAATGATTCTTCTGAATCACATTTTACAGTTGAAACTGCTACACAAGAATCAGATAGGTGACGTTTTTTTTACGACGTTAAATCAATACTGCCTACTTATTCTAGAAATATTCTAATTAAATTTTTATTTAAAAAAATGTCTTGTATTTAGAATATTCACTGATACTCACTCGTTAACACCAAGTAAAACAAAATCTATCAAAGCATCAAAACTCGCTTTATGGGATCAAATGGAATCATCTTTATTTTCTTCTACATCAAACATCATATCAAAATAATAAATTCTTGTAATACAAATAAATTCGTTTTTTCTTTATATATCAATCTTTCATTTTCATTCATTAGAAATACCATCAATACATGTATAGATATAGAATATAAAATACAATCATCAAGAATATTAATATTTGTGTAGAGTATAGAAAAAGAAAGGATAGAATTACATACAAATAGAGATAGAGTTCTGCTCACTACTTGAAAGTAT